AGTTATTGGTCCATGTTAATATGAACAAAGTTATATTTACTGGTTGATGTGGCTTATTATTTACATTTATTATTTCAATGTTGTGTTTTAGTTGTATAAGTAGAATATGATTCTAGTCGATTATTGTAACTATGTTAGATTTTTGAACCAATCGACCATGAACTGAACTTTCAATGTTTTTTAAATAAAATGAAATAATCCTTTTATTCATTATTTCAAATTGTATTTGCAGTGCTTCTTCTAAATTATTATTTAGTAGCTCAGTTTGTAAGAGCAATAATACGATGCAGTATGGTCGTGGGTTCAAGTCACAGTAACACAGTAACGGTAAAGAGAGTTAATAGAAGCTGAATGCTGGTGCCGTGGGTTTATGACGTGACCACAGTTCAGAGGAAGTTATTTTTTATAATGGTATGGTCAAAAGGTCATAACATAATAAAAGAAAACTGAGTAATATATACCGTGCCCTGGTAATTCGGACACAATTTTTTTTTTAAATGTGCCATTTATCCCTGATATCGGGATTTTTTTTGTCAGTTTTACCACTTTTTCGCGTGGCATATTTGGAGAAACAATTATCTACTCTATATTTTAACAAAGTAGTTAATCTGTTATTGCAACTCGGTCGAATCAGTACATTTGATCTTATGTGAATTATCTCGATGTGGACCTATCTACTCTATATATATTATTATTATTATTATTATGTATTATTACTATATATTTTATTATTATATACCTATACGAGAGTATACTCTCGTATAGGTATATAATAATAAAAATCTTTTTTGGCGGCTAGATGTCGCTCAAAGTTAAGAAACTAAGAAACTAACAGTTGTAGATATTAGTCCCGTTACATATTAATTAAATTAGTCATTTGAGTTTCTTTTAAATATGATTTTATTTCCAAACTTAAGCAGGCATTTATTATAATTTGAAAAATACAATTAATTTATTTTATTCACACTTGTAATTGTGATATTTGAAGTAGCTTAAGTTTTTTTTAAACAATAACTTCGCCGTTGTCCTTTTATTATTTTTTTAATGGGGCGTTGTGGAACAAACCACACGTATTTTGGTACAAAATTAGAAACGTTTACTTTTAAACTAAATGTACTTCCGCCAAAATTCCTATTTGTGTATATTTTAACAAAATAAAACTACTACTGCCATTTTCCACTAAGCCGCGAGCGACTGTAGTCTTAGAGGCTAGTTTTACTTCAGGTTCGCAGACGTGTCAATGGATATGGTATGATGACTTATTTGAATAAATATGAGTCGTGCGCGAACAGCCGCCCGCGACTAGCTGCTTAGTGGAAAATGCGTGTAAATTTACCTCTGTGTAACTCCATAGGCTCGTATAGTAGTGGCCCCTGAAATGCTTTCGCCGAGGTGGGAGTAGATAGGCGACTTGGAGATTGACTCGAGGCGGTTGAGCTGCCGCGAGGTGGCCACGTAGAACCGCTGGATGATGTAGTAGATCACTCCGATGGGAATTATCAGTACCAGGAAGATCGGCGTCACCAAACTGACTACGAATAATGTGCTCAGCACCTAAAATACATTTTAAATGTTCAGTTAGATTTGAATCCCGAAATCATGCAGAATTTTGAATAACTGATTTGTTATAACGACGATACGACTCCCCTCATGGATTTTGCCTGGACCCCATTTCCCCGTCCAGTGTAACGTAGATTGTTTCAAATTAACTCCAGTCCAGAAGAACGACTTAAAATTCGTGGTATATTATATGTAAAGTCTAGTAACGTGACAGTCTAGTAGCTTGCCCCTCTGAAGGGAAGTAATAATAATAATAACGTACACACTCAACATAGCCCCGCACTAGGGAAATCCTGTGTCGCGGGTGCTATGGACACACACATAGACAACCACAAATTACGAGATACCACAAACTCACGAGAGAAATAAATGTAGGCCATATAAATATTTCTCCCGGCCCGGGAATCGAACCTGGGACCTCTGCGTGGCAGTCCGGTAACCGTTGGGCCACGGAGGCAGTAAAAGGAAGTATCCAAATAGGATACAAAAATTAAGATTCATAATCTTAAAGTATTCTATTAATGGTTGACATAAATAAATTCTTTTGTAAATAAGAACTTGAAATGATTTTTTCGTATTTGTTACTAAAATGCTAACTAAATTTCACTTGTACTAAATGTCAGGTAGGAACAAATAATTAGGTAATTTTTAAATTGAGATTTATTTATAATGTATATGAAAACATGGAAACTAGAGTAGCAAATACTATAAAAATTTCAAACCAGATGTGTTTGTCATGGTCATTAAATACAAGAACGCATTAAACAATAAAAAAACGTAACACAACAACTCAGCGCCTTCGGAACAGTTATACCATTGAATTATACCATTAATGGTATAAGTGGTACTATCTTGTACCATTTATACCTGCACTGGTATAGGTGGCACTAGTTGATCTCAGTTATACCATTATTATCTACAATCCAATGGTCCAAAGCGGCCCAAAAACACGAATAAATCTAATTTGTTGTGTTGTAGCCATGTTTAATTAATAACGGTTAAAATCCGCATAATGTATAAAATATGCGAGGTCAACAACTTAATCAATCCACTTTAGTAATAAACAAGTATTTTTCACCCCATATGTGTAAGTAATCAAGTTGCAGCTTTACCTCAAACGTGGAATTAGTAACATTTTCTATCTGATCTGGAAGTGATGTGTCCAAGACATCCACGTCTTTCGAAAATCTAGCCAGGATTCTGCCAAGTGGCGTCTTTTCGAAGAATTGTATTGGAGTCTTTAGTATATTGCCCAACAACTGCATGTGGAGGATTTTTGCCGCACGCCAACATGCCAAGAAAGGCAATAAATTCGCAAAAAATGTTGATATTACTGCAACAATTTTTTTTATAATATCAAGTGACAGGACTAACAAGTCGTACACGCCTGATGGTAAGCTACACAGCTGTCCATGACAGTTGCAGTGACACTCAGAGCTTTCAATTGCAAAGATCTAAGGGGCACTGCCTCTGCGCCCGTTACAGATATAAGTTGACAAGTCCCATGTGCCTGTAATTTCACCAAATTGAATCAAAGTTAAAGTGTATAAAAATGCTTAGAAAATCAGTATAACATAGGGGCTTGTTATTAGGATTTTTAAACAAAAATTAAATTAGGCATGAATGTGTTTTGCTTATACGAGTATTTTTAAAGTTTCGTGCAAGAAATTATAAAATGTAGTACGTACATAAAATTACAATGTTAATAAGAATTGCTAGAGACAAAATGTCACTTACTAGTGCTAAATTTACCAATTACTAACGTGTAAACAAAATATTAATTTAAATTGTATTTTGCAAGCGCAACATATTGGACATACAATATATTGTATATAAAAACATTTACCATAAACATAGCCAAATAAGAACGGTGAAACTACGGGTAGTAGATCAGCTTGTTTCGTAATATACCAGTATACCAATTTAATCGTATGTGTGGAGGTTCAAATAATGATACGGGGCAAAAAAATCATGAAAAAGCTGGGACGTACCAACTGCAACTTTAACGACACTAAATTACGGGCTCATAAGCCCTGTATAAAGACTGATAAATACTGGTGCATGTAGTCTTTTCGCGCTACTGAGGTACAGGTCATTCGTAGGTCTATGAATGTTTTGATTATTTTAGAGACAAAAAGAGCAATTCTTTTCATTAAACAAGTCCCTTTAAGTATTTTTTCATAAATTCATTCTTCGTTCTTTCCGGACACGTGACAAATAAATTAACAATTAACAACGAAAATGTTCAACAAATTGTGGCACTGTATGGAGTTGCGTATTAAACCAGATATTTTCTTAGTTGCGGTATACATTATTTTACCTTGTGCTGCTCCAAGGCCTGCGTATACACCTATATAGAAATCTCGTCGTTGTGTGTCCACACTTCCATTAACGATCTGTGAAATGTATTAAAATATATAATCAGTGCAAAGTAATAATTGAGACAACATTTGTTGTCGCAATTGTTACTTAAGATTATAGAACCTGAACTTGAATATCGATGCCTTACTTTCTCAAACTAGTATCTTATAAAGAGTGATTATTCAGGAGACGGCAAAACTTTCTATTGATTTTAAATTTCTTATCTTAATTTGGATGCATAACTTTAAGAATAGGTAAAAGCTAGTGTGTGAATATGAAGGATATGTGATGTGAAATCAGCCTGCAAAATTTGTATATGTAATACAATGCATTTTTTGGCATTTCAGTAACTTATCTTAATACAAGTTTGAGAAAGTAAGGCTGAAAGGGTTGGTAACCGCCAATAGGGTGCAATAATAATTACTTACGTAAATACATCACGTGGTGGACCACGTGATGTATTTATGTATTTACGCATGAATTCATTATATAAAGGTGAGGAAAGGAAGAAAGGATCTAACAATAAAAATAGTATATAAAAACAGGTACAATATTAAAAAACAGTCCCTACTTAAATACTACGAAACATGTGTGAGACAGTAAAGAACTTAGCCCGAACGGGCCGTATTTTAAGTATTAGTTAGGTTACTTGATTTTAAAGAGGATCAAAATTAGGTTAAAATTAAGTAGAGAGTGACGACGGAACGAAACAAAATGAGAATGAGATAAAAAAAATTTAAGAACAATTCAAAATTTGATAATAAGTGCCCAGGAACCAGAGAAAAGGTGATACAAATGGGATGACGATGGAGGACATCCCATCGTCACAAGGTGACGATATGTATTACCACTTTATCATTATTTTATTCCCATTCCTGATTCTGTAGTCATATTATCATATGGCTCCAATAGTAGCATATACGTTTCCTAAAGAAGAAATATTATACTAACCATTTGGTCGTCGTTGGACCACTCTACAAGCCAGAAGTTAGAGCCGATCTGGAGCGCTTGCACTACCACATTCATTATCAAGGCCATAACTGGTATTAGCACGCCCAACGACGTTAGGTAGTACTTGTATACGCTCCATTTCACCTGCACATAGCACAACGTTATTTTTATGGCTTTTACTACTGGATAAATTAATAATCTCAGTACAGAGTACTAAGAAAACCGACCTCAAGAGTTCGTGGAATTACATCTATTTGCCAAGTTTTATTGAAACCTGTTACCGGAAGTACGCGAATCCGGATTAATTCCCCGGTTTGCCCTCCTTAGAGACGAAATATTTTCTTCAAATTTAAATGGGACCAAATAATGAGGTACCCTCTTTCCAACAAAAAAAGAATCATCAAAATCGGTTCACAAATGCAGGAGTTGTCGCGTAACATACACATACAATAAAGAGTCGAATTGAGAACCTCATCCTTTTTTGTAGTCGGTTAAAAATGTGCGGCTCTCCCTTCGTTATACATAGGGCGCGCTATAAGTTTCCGGAACTGGTCACTTACATAAACAATATTTAAAAATTACGTTTGAAAATGGAACTCTTTGGCTGTAGAATACAGTTTGTTTCATCTGACTGTCTCTTGTTTCTACAGTGTGGCGTCATTTTACAAATTGTTTGTCTACATGATCATGGATTTAACTCGTGTAAATTTTCGTAGTATGATTTTCTAGGACTTTAAGTGTAATCTAACAACTCAGCGGAGCTTCGCTCGGCTTCAAACTGCTTTTGGCAATGAAGCACCATGCAAGACGACTATTTATCTGGTTTGCAGAATTCAAACGCGGTCGTGTGAATCTGAGTGACGAATTTCGTGATGGTCGCCCGTCCACTGCTGTGAACAACAAAAACATCCCTACCTTGCGCCGTATGATCAAAACAGACAGGCATGTGACATACCATGAGATTCGAGCATCTTTAGGCATGAGTCAAATACAATCAATACTACACAAACGTTTGGGTGTGAAAAAACTGTGCTCTCGGTGGATCCCACACAATTTGACTGAGGCTTAAAAAACGGATCGCGTCACTGTTACGACATAATGTAGTAACAGGTGACAAAACATGGATTTATAGTTACGATCCCAAAACAAAGCAGTAATCGAGTATATGGGACATTTCAGATGAGCCGAAACCAACCAAAGTGGAAAGGAAACCAAGCAGTACAGTTCTGGGGACAGGTGTGACCATTTTACACGGAGTATTATTACATATAGTCTGCAGGGCATAACAGAAGTTCGACCATGGTACTTACGCTTCCCGTCTCTGTCTTTTCTTCCTCAATAAGCTTGTTTTCAGCTTTTAGTACCTCGAGCATTTCGCTGTCTGACGACCATTGTCTCTCTACGTTGTTTGCACGGTGTTCTGAAATTCATTTAACAATATCAGTATATTTTCGTATAATTTTTAATTCAGTGTTTAACAAAAACATAAAAAAGAAATAGTACACCATATAAGCATACTAACTCGTTAGTGTTGAGTGAATATACAGCTCCAATAAATCACATAGACCATGAACAAAAAATTGGTTTATTTTGTCTTTTGTTATATCGTCGGATCTCTTTCTTCCTTGTATTATTGCTTAGGTAATAAAAAAACATATAGATGCAATAACTACCTGTCGTACCTTCGGTCTGTTGTTGCTTTGACTCTGCGCTTTCCGATAGCGACCGCGCCCGCTGTAGTTTGATCTGAAACTCCGAGCCTAATTTGCTTTTCAGATCTTGCTTGATTTCGTTTAATTCTGAAATTAAAAAATAACAACCATGAAATAACTTTTCATATCTTAAGCATTTTATACTGGGCATGTGCATCCCCCGCCAACCAGTTCCAAGCTTCGACGATTAAAGCCTATTATACTATACGATCACAGACATGTATCTAGATTCTAGATAGACGCCGCAAGTGTACGTACTTCGCGTGCCCAAAGTAAATGAAATTCACTTACTTGCCGCTGCTACACTTCAGAACTCGCTCGATCGTTGTAGATAAACATCAGTCGCGAAAAATGCATAATTGTGTCATTATAAACTGCAAAAGCATCATAACTGTGGGTAAACGGATAAACAGGGACGTTTCCTTCCACAGGCAAGTGATTTTGTAATCAGAAGATGCATATAATTTATTTTAAAAACAATTATTTTGGTTTTGAATGACTTTCGAGAAAACAAATATGCAACCCAGTGTATGCCCCATATTTGTAATACATTGCGGCTTTTACTTGGTGCGATATATTTGTGATCCTTTATTAATACGCCATGAATATCGAACGAACGCCCTTTTGTATAATGGCATTCAGTTTTGTACATTTCTTTGGCCAAATTTAACATTGAATATTAACTCTTTTGTTATAACGTTTAATAACGTTTCGTTTTTTTTCAGTTTTGTAGTATCTATTGTCAGTAGTATCTCTAATTTCGATAATTTTTGCAGCACGTTGCGTTGAATGTCCGAATATAGTGAGCAAATAATTACATACATCGCCGGATATGTAGTACGAGTAATACAAAAAAATATATAATGCAAAGAATTAACAGTGCGCTGTCTTTATAAGAACCTGGAGTTGGTCATACGTACGAGTTCGTTGCTTTCAAGGACGAAGGTGGTCTAGATTATCCCACTTATGATGCTATCCAAATATGCAGAGTGGCAGAGTTAGAAATCCGAGAAATCATGATCAAATCACAAAAACTTTACACGAGGCCGACATTAAGTAAACCTCTTCTGATTAGTAACATTTTACGATATTTTGTCAGCAGTAACATTTTCAGTTGTCTTGCCATTCACCAATTTGATCAATGACCGACGGAAAACCATATAGTAAATTTAATTAAGGCAGTTGCAAGTTCATATATTGACGTGCGTCTTCATTATTTAAGTCAATCGATAAGGACTTCTATTACAAAAAGACAGTTATATAATAAGCTTATTTTATTTCAAGGACAATAATTTTAATATTTGAAGTTAATTAAAAATTAAAGTTGAAATTTATATGTAATCAAAATTTTTTTTAAACAACTTTTAATAAAGGACGTAACTATCTTGTTTTGGTATTTTTCTACTACATTAATATTTCACCACTACTTGTAATCAACGAATACTTGAATCGATTAATTGAATGGAATGCGTATATTCCGTTCAATCAATCGATTTGGCGTGGAAGGAGGTTTCCCATCACTAAATAGTTCTTGTGACGTCATGGTGGATACATAAAATGTGGCACGCTCGGTTTTCATACAAATTGCTGTACTTGCGGCGTCTATCTAAATATACTCGTATGTCTGTGTATACGATCGACCAGGGGTTTTCTTACAATGCGGGGAGGGTGGTTCCAGTAGGGCTAGCATGAAAGATACGCGACTTGTGCGAGAGCGACATAAAGCGCGAGATCTCCATGCGAGAATAGCAGTATCTCGCACTTTATCACTTATGTCACTCTCGCGCTAGTCGAGCCGTATCGTACTAGAGACTCGACGAGACTATACATAGCACATAGCAAATGTTCATATTGTAGTATAAAAGTTTATACCCAGTTTCAATCAGCCAAACTTTCACACGTATTATACAAACCTTCGGGTGATGTTCTTTTAGCGATGCTCAGATGGTGAATCAAGAAATCAGCAAAGGCGCCCTTCTTTTCCAGCAACCCTTGATACGTGCCGGCTTCAGAGATCTGGCCTTTTTTCAGTACTAGCACAAGGTCAGCCTGCGCCAAGTACGTCACGCTGTGCGTCACCCAAACTCGCGTCTTAGTTTTTAAGAGACCGTTCGGGCCGACAACCTGAAGAAATTATTAAAAAAATATATATATATACGTGGAATGTACATTTTGTTTTTTGGTTAAGTGAAAGGGTCGTTTATAATTATTCCTACCAAATCGGAAGCTTATTTATCCCTTCACTGTAAAAAGAAGGACCTTGAGCCAATTGTGCACAAAATTCTCAAACCCGCATTATCGGTGAAACACTGTCCTCATAAAGCAATTTTCAAGGGTCCAAACATGTGAAAGTCACAAGGCGACAAATCTGGACTACATGGTGGGTGTTCAATGGTTTTCCAGGATATTTTAAAGAGCTTTTGGTGCGTCATTTGAGCGATATGGCCGTCATTTGGCCGAGTGTTGTTATACAGCAAAATGACACCTCTGACGGATTTTTGCTGTCTTTTATAACTGCCTCCATGGCTGAACGGTTACGCGGCGCGCGCGTGTGCGTGCGTGCGTGCGTGCGTGTGTGTGTGTGTGTGTGTGTGTGTGCGTGTGCGTGTGCGTTCGCGCGTGAGTGTGCGTGCGCGTGTGCGTGTGTGTTACACATCAGTCGTGTTTTTTCTCGAGAATTATGCCTGTCCATGGCAAGTACTTAGTTCGGGTGTTACCTTGTCGAATATATGTTTCCCAACGTGCGAGTCGACGGCGCTGAGCGGATCGTCGAGGAAGTAGTTATCCGCGTCGAAGTACACGGCCCGCGCCAGCGACACGCGCTGTTTCTGACCTCCGGACAGGTTAATGCCTAGCCATCAACAAGAACATCAACTCACGTTCGACAAAAAAACAGATTGTGTTCCACACACCAGTTCACCGTTCTGCGAGCATACCTTTCTCGCCGATTTCAGTCTGGTCGCCACCGGGCAGCACGTCAAAATCTGACTTGAGTGCGCACACGTCAATCACGTTATTGTATTTGAGTTTGTCGAGCTGCTTGCCGAATACAATGTTGTCTTGCAGGGTTGCGTTCTGGATCCAAGCTTGTTGGGGCACGTATGCTACTTTACCTGTGAACAGAGTGCATTTTACTTTCATCTTTGGTTTCATTACAAAAACAATCCAATAACATCGTAAATTTATTGCATACCCATTTTTGCCAAAATTTTCTGTTTTGTGTTAGACCCCTTTTCTAACATGGGTGTGTTTTTAACAGCTGACACAGTGCTACTCACTTTGATAAGTTAACTGTAGAGTGCAAGACTATAAAAAACATAAGAAAGCAATAGGGGGCGTTGATCCAGGGGATGCTATCGCAATTGAAAAGAAAATCTGAATTATCTATATAAACTACACTAAATATACGTATTTTTTTCCAAGTGATTTTTGTGTAAAGTTTGTGACGGTGTGACCTCCTTACACCGTCATCTCACCTCTTGGTATCGCCTCTCTCTGCTTGTATCCTATCATTTTTTATTTTTGTATTTAAATTTTTAATTTGAATTGTTCCATCTTCCTTCACTTTCTCATTTTGTTTTCGTACCACGGTCACTCCCAGCTCGACCGCCACAACGATCGGAGCTGTCCCAAATTCCATCGCGAATAATCGCTAATTCTGGTTCTTAACTACGTTTGTAATCATTTAATAAGCTAAATCATGTGTAATAATTTATAAGTCTACAGCCTTCATGTACCTATATCTGTAATTCAGTTACTCGGCCCATTTAGGGCCCCTTTCTTTAAACTTTACTTCTTTAATAAATTTTGTGGACCGGAAGTTTCCCGTTTCATTGCCGTGAACCTGTTCACGGCTAGTTAGGGTTACAACCCTTTTCAATTTAATGTAAAAAAAACGTGTTTTCAATTATTTTGGGCGATGACATTTATTTATCTTGCCTAAGAGCGGTGAGCCAAAAAGTTTGGGAAACTATGATCGAACCTAATATAGGACCATATCCGTTTAGTTGTGAAATGTTTACTTATACATATAGTAGGTAATTTCTACGTATACTATAATTCTACGTGTTCTACGTGTACTATCCATGTAATATGGATTATTACATTTATGTTAAGTAAAAAATTTTGGTTCTGGCCTGTCTAACTGGAAGCCACCATCGTGGACACCCATCTTATACAACGCCCATTTTTTATCGCTATAGACTATTTTAGGAACCATAATTCTAGGGGAAAGTTTTAAATATATATTTTTTGTTATTGTTTCTAACGCATTCCATTGCGTGCTTTTATATCCTAGCCCCTTCAAATCTATTGTTAAGAATAAAACAGATTATCAATTGTAACTCCTTTTAAATCGATTTTTGAGAATAAAACATTATAGTGTGTATTGTTTATAATATAGCCGATGAGGGTGCCAACTTGCCAGTGGTGTTGACGCGCCCGGAGACCTTGTTCATCTCCCCCAGCAGCGCGGAGAGCAGCGAGCTCTTGCCCGAGCCGACGGCGCCCACCACGGCCACCAGCGAGCCCTTCTTTATGTTGATGTTGATGTTGCGCAGAGTCGGCTCCGGCTCGTCGCCCCACGAGAAGTGACCGCTTTCGATCAGTATGGGGTTGGCTGCAACAATAACACTTCGTTAGAAGCTCCGCGGATTACATTTTCATTTACAGACTTATGCTTATGCTTGGCTTGCCAATTTTGGAGAGGCTCTGTATCATTAATATCAAATATGTCAATATACTTACGTTCTTTGGGATCGTGCTCTACGGAGTTTACGTTGAGTTCATCACAGTTCATGAATTTGTTCAATCTCTTTATAACGACCGAAATCTGCAAATCGAGTGAACATGAACCATGCGCAGTAAAAAAATCTTTTTATCCATCACCAAGCTATTTGTATGTATTTATCAAGTAAGAAACTGGGAAATCAGATTCTTTAGTCAGTCTCGTTTTAGTGACAGAAAAGTTGAATGAAGTCTCTATTGTTAAGTGTAAGAAGGTCATATATATAATTATTTAAATATTTTCGAAAATAGTAAAGTGTTAAGTTGGAAAAGTAGCTATGCTTATTAATACGTGCAAGTAAGACAATTCTAAATGTATGTGTGAAGTTGTGTTCGTATTATGGTATCATATAGAGTTAAATGAAATTTCAACTATTTACATTACTGCACACACAAAGATAGAACCACAAAATTATATAACTTACTTCAACAATACTCGATATAACATTAGGCAGCATGTACAATGGGAAACGCATTATATTGAAAAGAGACAACGCTACGAAAGCTTTTTTGGAGTCCAGCACTTCTGTGTCATTAACCAGTACGAAACACGCGAACGACAGCAGTGTGACCTAAGATCATACAAGCGGATTAGATTAGATTCCACGCAATTTCAGAATATTTTGTTTTAAATAATAACTAATCGATTTTAAGGGCAATTTATTCGACATGAATTTCATCGCGATCACCCCGTGTCGCCGCGCGGTCGCCGAGCGAAGTCCGCGTTGCCGCCGCGCAGCAACAAAATACGCTATATTTACTTAGCTTTTACGTTTTAACTTAAATCAGCATCCCGGATACGCGGGCGACTCTAGCTTGAATTTGGTCTACGCGGCGCCCCGTGCGGTTGTATTATTCAGAGGAATTTAAATGTTGTTGCCTAATAAATAGAAACCAGATTCTTCATTAATGTACGAAGGCGTGGCGTGGCTAAAACTTTCTGTTCGTATAACAGGGCGCTAAGGCTTTCGTGGTTATTCACTAAATGATTATCATTAATCACAGATTTCTTACCACAATATGATTTCTTTTAATAATAATTTATCACTAATTGCGGAAATTTTATTTTTCGTACAACAGATAAATTATAAATAATTTTCTACAGTTAAAAATAAAATATTGGCATCCAATACAATAAGAAATATTAATAGTATTAAACTAGAGGGTTCGCTCATTACAACAATAGTAGTTATTATCGAGTTCTTAGGTTTTCGCGATTGTTACACATAGGAAATGAAACTGTTTTCCGAATTTAAATCGCGTATATTTGTTTTTTCAAACAAATCGACGTTTCGGGCCCTTTACAGGTCCCATACCGTGACCAAACAAATATACGCGATTTAAATCCGGAAAAACAATTTCATTTCCTAATAGTAGTTATTATTAAAATGAACAAAGACAAGTAGATTGTGCTGTTACACTTTATTCAGCATAGCAACAGTATACGGTAAAAAGTATGACTACAGTACAGTATATTATATAGTATATATTATCAGACATGCTTTTATTACATGAAACTATTCTTATATGCAGGAAGTTGTCTGCACTGTAATTACTTCTTTCGTGTTTATTATACTTCTGTTGTAAATTGTAATTTAAATAAATAATTGATTGAAATAAACACTTGGACTAGTGGAGTCATCGAAAATGGGTGCTTCCAGCAATGAGGGAATATCGTTTCCGATAAATGTATACTGAAGTCAGGACACTGAATTTTTACAATAATTATAATCTACTCAAGTACGCGATAGAACTACCTACAAGTCTTTGTAATGTTGTGGCGAGAGTTCATCAACGCCATCGACGGTGCCATATTTCATTTACGCCCTGTCGCTGTGAACTGCGTCAGCAAGATTCAACAGATTATAGTCGTCACCAAATAAGAGAAATAAGAGGCCAAATTTGACAGCTAAAGAAGGCGATAGTATGTAACTTTGATTGCGATCAACGAAACAATAATCAAACAATTAGTAGCATAATTGAGTTTTAAAAAATACGTAAATTTTATTGAAACATTATATAATATGACAAAACATATTTGAAGTACTGTTTTCGCACGAATTCCGAAATAAAATGCAATTTTGAGTTACCATGAAACGTCCTGAAAACAGTTACATCCTCAAACTATTTTTTTTAAACAATAGTGTTGTAAGCAATTAATCGCCGTATTTCACCGAGTCGCTTCGATTACTCGGAAAAAATATTTAAAAAAATATTAAAAAAATATTATGAACTTTATTTGAGAATGTTTGTTGTTGACATTGACAACTTCTAACTTATTGCCAGCCGAATAATTGAAAATTTATGAAATCCTTGGTTTCTAGGTAATTTAATCTTTTTATGTAGTTGTTTTATCGGCGAACATACATAATATTTACACTAAATTCTCGTAATAAACCATTTATAAATATTATAAAATCAAAATTAAAAGAATTGGGTACAATTCATCGGAATGTGGGACACGACGAAATTTTAAGAAAATCAGAGGAATTGCTACAGAATTGCAAGGAATTCTGTAAATGAATTGTTTTTAACAAAATTGCACGATTTAGCCTTTTAGGCCCCCAGAACAACAGTGAATCGAAAAATAATCTAAACAATCACAAACTCTTAAAATTTTGAATCGATTTCTCGTGAAAATCGTGTAATGTGATTAGCGATATGATTAGTCCACATTCTTATTCGCGTTACGATGACAAGTGTCAAGTTTGGCCTCGTAGTATAGCCTCGTATTTGTGACGACTATAATGTCTAGAAATGCGAAATGAATATATTTTACATTTAGTTTAAACAAATAAAAATGCAAAGAAACTTACCAAAAACGGCACAAAAACCGATATAAATGCACTGACCGAATTTAAGTAGATAATTCGTTTTATGATATTAATTTCTTTGTTTCTTATTTTAAGTATTTGGTCCTCAAAGCTTGGTTCCCAAGCATACATTTTAAGTACCTGAAAATAAAACATACTACAGATTAAAATATAAACACAATCAATTGGGTCACTTTAGATTTCAGACAGTCTTGTTGTTCTTTAACCTAAATGTAAAGTGTCGTTGTCTGCTATTGTGTCAGAGTTGTGAAATATAACCTTTCTATACTCGGCGATAGTATTCGAGTTCAAAAACGTAAACAAAAGAAAACAAAAGGCTTGGCCATTACATAAAAATTTCATAATTGTGCTTAACCTATGTACATTAACAAACAAAATATTATCAAAACGGTAATTTTTTAACATCCTATATAACAATACCATCCTTGTGGCAATGCTTTGGTTAGGCACAACCTTTGGCTACCTTTTATTTGTTTGTATGGTTTTTGATGCCCTAAATGAGGTAAAATAAGCGTTTTATTACTCCAATTAATTAATTAATACAAACAAAAATACAAATTAAATTTAATAAACATACTCTTAGTATGAAGAGTAGAACCTGTGTTAACAAATTTATTAAAACGAACCTAAAAAGGTTTATGATATATATGAGAAATTGAGAACATTGGTTTGTTTATTTGGGTCCGCTTGAATTCATTATAATGATTAATGACCTACCCAGTGTTGTTCATCATGCCACTTGTCTGCTATATGCGGACGACTTAAAGTTACTGTTGGCTATAAAAGATGGACGAGATTGTGAAAACTTACAAGGAGATATAAGACAGGGTTGTCCAGTGGAGTCACGAGAACAATCTGTTTTTTAATGAGGCAAAGTGTTCTCCGATAACATTCGGTCGTGCTCGGACACCTATCCAATACGAATATAGCATAAACACAGTCCCAATGCAAAAGGTTTCCAAGGTACGCGATCTAGCGGTTCTACTTACAGCCCAACTGACGTTTCGAGACCATACAGTCAATGTTTGTAAAAAGGCCTAAAGGAACCTTGGCTTCGTATTGAGGCAGACTCGGTGCTTTAACAAAATTAGTCCCATAAAAGCATTATATGATGCCCTGGTAAGGAGCCACCTGGGATGCAATGCAGTTATCTGGTCGCCTCATGAAGCAAAGTACAAAATTGTGTACACTTTTTTTTTTTAGTTGTGTACAAATTGTGTGCACGCATTCAAAATAAATTTACACGGCATTTATATGCAAGAATATATGGTGTTTACTTTTATCCACTCTTTTATCCACTCATGTATCCAAGTTTATTTGTACTCGGCATGGTTGGTTATAATAGACTAGAAGTACGTCGAGACTTCGCATTAGCTCAAATTATTTTTAAACTACTTAGAGGGTCAATTCTTAACCATAGTATACTGGAAAGGGTGTCTTTATGCGTGCCGAATGATTACGTAAGGAGGCGGCGAAAACCGCGGTTGTTGGCAGTGCCGCGCGGCCGGACTAATCTGGGTGTCTACTCTCGATCTCCGTTCGACATCCGTCCGAAACAATTACTGCCAAAAGAGCAATACTTGACCAAATGAAAAGACGCGTGATGCGAATGAAGCTTCATACTAGATACTTGTCTCTTAATTTTGTCGAATATTACTTATTTGACAGCAATTGTTTCGGACGGAGATCGAGTGTAGCCCTCCTGAGCCAGAAGGCCCCGCTCACACGAGTTTTGCAAATCCTAAATGATGTTGCAGACAGAACGGACTTATTTTCATGTACTCTGTGTGAATTCACAAGGATAACACTATACTTTATTTGCTATGTACATGTTTCGTAATCATTTTAGCGAGTAGTTGATTTCTTTTTTATTTTTATTTTTTATTATGGATTTAATGTAAGAATCTACATATGAATGTAAAGTTTTAAATAATAAATAAATAAATAAATACATCTTTATATCGAATTTAATGGCCGAGTACGCTCTTTATACTGCACATCTGTGTTACAGTGCTAATTGCTACACTATACTAATTATTAGGTTATGAATTTGCGAAACTACTTAAAATTGAGGGTCGAGTAAATATGTATAATTTACGTAGTTCGCACAATTTGTCAAAAGTTGGGTCGCGATATACGTAAACAATTGACAAGGTGTATTTAAATGACGCTGAATCGAAATATGTAATATAAAAAACCGTGCAATATGTAATCATTGCTTTATTCAATTAGACCATCGATATATGTGTATATATAATAATTGAAATAATTTTCAGATCCTACATATACTCGTATATTACACCCTTATACTAACATAATAGCAGTTAAGTATAATATTTCTTTTATAATATTAAGTGAGGGGATGAAAAAGTCGTGTGCCTGATGGTAAGCTACACTCCTGTCCAAAACCGTTGCAGTGGCACTCAGAGCTTTAAATGGAAAAGATCTGAGGGGCACTGCCACTACGCCCGTCACCCTGAGACATAAATTGACAAGTTTCTTGTGCCTGTAATGCTTGATAATTTCACAAGCACCCTTACCCTTGAAAGTCGGTGCGCAGAAATGCTCACATTATAAAGTAATGTGAGCATTTTTATTACTAGCAGCAGGCTGCTTGGCGGTAGAAATAGGTAAGGTGACAGTACATTACTGGATGAACTCTTATGTATTTTAGCAAAAGTAATGAGGCACTATGAAGTAAGTATCACTTACCTTAATTCCATTAAGGACCTCGTTCATAAGTTTGACTCGTTCGTCTTTGTATTGCATCTGGCTAACTTGTAATGCTTCAACTTTATTGATAATCAACCCGTTTATGGGGATGAATATTATGATAACGGCGAGGCCGGCTAGTACGGATGGCCCTAAGATGCCCCAAAGGAAAAATACGGCAAGCGCTATTTGGAGTGGCGCAGACCATATCAGGTTTACATACGCTGTAAATTCTAGGAACCTGTAACAAAGGTTTTACATACAGCGTGCTTAATCTGTAACTTTATGATAATCGTATGGTGTATTTTGACTTTTGCGCATGGAATAAGAATTGCGAACGCCATAGTATGGCACTCATAGTAAAGGGAATTCACTAGTTTGAGACCAGGAAATTGGTGTGGTTGTCTGGCACATTATTATTATTATTATTATTATTATTATTAATGAAAGCTCTATTAGGGGTTACATGACTGTGCTACAAAGAGTTTAAGTAATTGTATGTTAGAAAAATTTCATATAAGAAGCAATTTCTCTGCGTTTTTTATACGTGAAATGAAGTTTGGGTCTTTAAAGCTACGCAAAAGTGAATCAATGGTTTCATAACTAAAACCAAAAAATAGTCATGCCATCACAACATTTTTGTTGGTATTCTTCAGAAGTCTTGGTGTGAACTATTTTCTGAAATACTTTGTTCAACTGAAAATTTTAGGCCGTTTATGGGAGGTGTATTATGTTATATTTTTGTATAGTCAAGAGCACGTCAAGCTTGACACTTTGAACTTTGGACCGTTCTTATCGAACGGTCGATTTAAGTCTTAAGTGTCAAGCTTGACGTGCTCTTGACTATACACGTCATACTGATCATTGCACAAGTACATATTGCATAATATGTAGTTCCGTTGTCGAAATGTTTTTTATGTCTAACTTTATCTCTGTGTATTTGAACTATAATAATGATAACGTTGAGCAAATAGGAGATTACCTACATAATATTGATTACAAAGATAAGAATGTGTTTGAAGGTTTCGTGATAATTATTATTTGTTCTTTACTTGGTAGTTATTTTATGACAGGTGAAAATTAGTGTACAACATAGGTTTCCAAACTTTTTAGCTCAACGCCCACTGAGACCGGCTAAAAGAATTTCAAAGCCCACCACCACAAAAAATAATTGAAAACGCGTATTTTTTATATTAAAGTTAACACAAAAAATCACAAGATAACCAAATACATATATATGTAGTGTTGTATGTAGTTTACATATTCAATCTTTCTTCAATTTTTTTCAAATGCGGTAGCACTCCCTGGACAGCTTCAACGACCCCAATTGCTTCCGACGTCCCTACTGCCCCTCCTAAGGACTCTTTAGCGCCAACTGTGGCAAACTATGATGTATAACATAAGAAAAAAAGAAATTCTCATTTTATGCATATTTCAGAGCGCTAGTGATAGAATCGGGCGGAACGTTTTATAGAATTGCTATTGCGCGAAATCAACAGCATGACAACTAAACGACACCATGCAGCAGTAGGCTTCCAGGGTATAGTGCTATGCCTACGATCACGCTAGCGTTACTTTCAAGTACTCCATCTATGCAAAACAGTTATTAACAGTCTTACCTAGGCGCATCAATCGACATCAAATTAACAATTTCGCCGATGGTGGATTCCTTTCTCGCAGTGCATGACATCCGCAAAGACTTTCTATAAACGGCACAAGTGACAGCGGTTTTTATTCTCATGCCAACAAGGTACATCCGGGTAAAGTAGTGCGCGAGTACAATGGTCTGTGCAGATGCGCATGCTAACAGCGCGACCGCATATACATAGCCTTTCCATACCGGCTCTTTGCTTTCTATAAAACTTATTAGGAGTCTGAAATTAAAAACAATTCAAATTGTACTAAAAAAAAAGGAAATGAAAGCTAAACTTGTCATTCATTACTTGCTGTGGCGTTCATTATTTAATACTGATCAAAAGCGCACAAGTGACATCAATACGGCAAACACGACACGATGATGAATTTAGGATTCTATATCATAGAACTCTCCAAAATTATTGATAAAATTGTACCACGTTTGTTTATAATTAAGACAAAAACCTAATATTTCATAATGTTAAATTTTGCATTGTTACATATTTTGCAGTCGACACATGAAAATTGGGGGCTAAATAATATTTTGAATTAGCAAGAATACTTTCGCCTAGGACACGTAAGAAGACTGGGCAAAAGCTGTTAAATGTGTAAACAAATTTGTAAAACTCACCCGAGTAGTTGTGGCGAGACGAACGTGAGAATATCGTTGATGAGTTTGAGCACGGACCCAAACAAGAACTGCGCACCAAAGGCTAGACATAGCGCAGGCAGGACTGAGGCAGGCTTCCGTTCGCTCTCTGGCTTGAAATTCATACTCGCTGAAATTTGACTGTACGTCGCCTTTTTGCTGTTTGTGCTGAAAGTCGGGTTGTAAGTAAGTCCTTCGAAGTATTATGTAAAATTACTCGAACAGTTTCATTAAAACATACGGTACTAAAGTACTTGCGTGCACATTGTAAGTTAAAACTGAACAGGGGCCTTACCATGAACTCTTATTACAGTTCAGTTTAGGTTCGTAACGACAAAAAAGCGGGTTGGTGATATACCTACACTTCATGTAGCGCTGTCTCACAACGATTTATTTTAGGTCCTAAACTGAATCGTAATAAGAGTTCATGGTAAGGCCCCAGACCCATAATAATGATTTGTGTAGTACTTTATCAACTAGAAGTTTGGTGTATGTGAATATTAAGCTTCAATGAATTTGCACTTACGCTTCTCGCTTCTCTAATGTACTGTGCCAGTATTTTTCGAATCTTGGAACCACTTCTTTCGAGGAGTCTGGAGGGTTCAGCGCCCAGAGGTCACTTTCAGTGAGACTCCTACGGAAGCCTGTGATTGCTAGAGGATCGAACCAGCTGAATGTCAGCCGGCTAGGGAACCCTGATGCACTTTCTGGGCATGGGTTCTAATAAATAATAATAATAATCATAAATAGTATTGACCTGAAGAATAACTGGCCATTTTAAATTAATTTTATTTTGGTTATTTAAGTAGTAGTGTTTGAATATTGTCGTGACTATTTAGTATAACTAATAATAATAAATAGAATTACCTTTCCGAATTTGTACGGAGTATCTTTGGGCGGTAAGTCGGCGAAACAATTGAGTATAAACATCAAAAAAATAAGTGGGTAATATAGTATGTAGCTAACAAAGGAGTATTGGACGTTTCCATCATCAGCAGCGTCGGAGTAGGCCCTTATTTCTGTTCGGAGCTGGGGCAGCCCCGCTAGCACTAGTAGTAACCAGAAGAAGAAGAGTACTCCTGATGCTCTCATGCCATATCTCCTATTGTAGTATAACAATGTTGCGGACAAACCCTGCAGGAAAAAGAACTTTCAATCATTTATCCTTGTATTTGGTAATGCTAAGGCTATAATTTTTTCGCACAAGCGTATCTAACTATATTTCATTCTTTGTTTTGTTATTCTGTAATCTGATTGCAAGTGTAAGAGCAATAGGGAAAAAACAAAAACCCAAAATTGAGTTTTCAAACAAGTACCTTCTCATTATAGTATCTATAAAAATATTAACCAGTAGGCAAGTACGTAGATATATATTTGTATTATTAGGATTTGTTTGAATTTTATGGAAGTTGAGTATGTTTCGCAGTTCAAGCCGTACAATAAAAATGCGGAAATCTCGACTACGCATACGTAATATATTATACAGGGTGTCCCGGGACGCGACGTCAAGCCGGAACGGGGTGAT